ATCGGGGAGTGAGAGCCATGAGAAACTGAACCAAGCGATGTTGGTCACGGTAAGTAGTAAACAAGGCAGCATCCTTAGTACAATCCCATGGAGATTCAGAAAGAGCGAGCTGATCCCAAACATAATACATTTGGGAGAGGAAATCATTAATGGTCTGAGTTGTTTCTTGGCGCATACGGTGAAGATGACTCAGAAGCTGATATTGGTGAGCAAGGCCAGTAGTTTGATAGCGTTCCTGTAAAAAATCCTAGATGGCCTTGGCTGGAGAGGAAGCAGAGTCAAGTTGGAACCGACCAAACTGAAGGCTGATAGATGTAATAGAAGTATTGCGAAACCAGGTAATGATCTGATAGTTTTTACTATCCCAATCCTCCAGACGGTCGACATATTTGGCAGCGGAGTCCGTGGTGGCAGCGGATTCCATGGTTGCGGGGATGGGTTTGCACACATCCCTAGTGATGATGCGCCAAAGTTTCTTTCCTTTGAGGAACCCAGGCATAGCTTGTGCCCATAAGACATAGTTAGTCCCGTCAAGAACAACAGAAATAGGGTGGTTAGAGGAGTCGAGGCGATCCATGAGGGAAAAATAGTACTATCGAGGTAGAATCTGAAAAATCCGAGGTTACAAGTGAATTCAGAGGGTCAAAATCAGTGGAAAATGAGTGAACTGACCAAAAAATATGACCAGAAATGCACTAAATTGGCTTGTCAAAGTGAGTGGACTGGTCTGGTCAACAATTCTGGTCAAACAGGATGATGTCACAGGCTACAGGGATGATGTCACAGGCGCGGCGCACGTTAGCAGAGAAGTGCGCGGCGCACAATAGCAGAGGACAGCAGCCGGCGCACAAAAGCAGCTAGGGCTGACGTCGGCTGACGTCAGAAACACGCGGCTTACGTTAGCAGAGGAGGCCGCGGCGCACAGTAGCACGGGACAGTGTAAGAGGCGCGTAGAGCGTGTCTGAGAACGAAGCAGCGCGTGGCCTTAAGTTCTGGCGGCGCGTGGAGGTGCGTGGAACGTCGGCTGGTGATGAATTTGGTGGCGTTGGATTCGTCGTGAGGAGACGAAGGTACTGGTGTGGTCCAATATGGAAGTTAGATAAGGTCGAGATATGCAACAATCTATCAAAATGTGATGCAGACGAGATACACAGCAATCTGCTAAGCAAAAAAATGTAATGCAGCGGAAGAAGTGACTAGGCAAAACACCTGTGCTCTGATACCATGTGAGATATGTAAGATATCTGAATGAATGTTGTATTTTTTATATATATATTGGCTACAAAAGTGATGCTTATTTATAGAGGAAGCACCGAAAGGAGAAGACAAAAGCTATGCATAATAATAAAGGTGTGTGAGTGGTGTTTGGTCTTTGCAACCGAAAGAAAAGAATCCTATGCTCTGTCCTATAATATATTATACTATATACATTTTACATGCACATTATACATTAACAATAATAGTAATAATAATTTATTATAAAAAAAATCTTAAAATTTGAGTTTTATAATAAAATAAAATTTTAATTTTATCAGTTTAAAGCTTAATGTTTTGATTTATTTTCAAACTAAATCATATGTCTATTTTCGTTAAGTAAAATTGACAAAAAAAAGTAATATTTTAGTCATTAAACTCAATATAAGTGTATCAAAAATGTATAAAATTTGTCTAAAATATTCATTTTCATTGAGTTTAATAACTAAAATATTAAAAAAAAAAATTATCATTTATACTTAATGAAAATAGACAAATGACTTAGATTAAACAATCAAATATTAAGATTTAAATTAATAAAATTAAAAATTTGAGATTTTTCTCATTATAAAAATTAAATCTGGAGATTTTCTTTTATAAGTTTCTCAAAAAAGAAAATTTATTAATGTCCAATTGATAAAATCAATAAGACACAATCCTGTCCCACAAAAGGAGATTTTTTTTCAATGGGTTTAACTGGATCATATTGTTGGGTTTCAGTAAATCTACCATGTGTTTTAACTTGATAATCTAAATAATTGATTTTATATGGTTATCAATAAGATAATCTATACAAAATTAAATCAACAAATAACGATAGTCACTTAATTAAATCACATTTATCTTTTAAAAATTTATTTTTAAAATCATTTCTGTCATGTATTTTATTAATAATAAATTCCATATATGATCAAATTTATTTTTTACATAAATATTTTGTCTAGGAATCAAAAGTTTGGTATTTGAAACCTTTATATAAAGTCAAGCTTATAAATTTCTTAGTTGTTTAAACACACACATATATATAGATATATAATCAATTTGATATTTTATTATGAATTTTATAATAAAATATTTTCATTTTTAAACTTTTTAATATAAGCGGTGACTTTTATGTAGGTTCTTCTTTCTACTATCACTACAACAAGTTGGGTCTTGAATGACGAAATTTTTTTGTCTCCAAAGAGCTAATTTCGTCACTATAGATATTTGTGAGGAAATATTTTCGTCACCAGTTTCGTCATTGAATGTTTGTCACTAAAAACCACCGTGACGAAAAATAATTTCGTCACCAATGAGATTACTTCAGTGACGAAATTTTTTGTCACTAATAAAACAACATTTTGACGCCAAAAATTCTCATTTTCGTCACCAAATAATTATTCAGTACCATATTTATAACTTTAGTTGATGAATAAATTTGTCACACATGTTGATCATTGATGAGGAAATAATTTCGTCACAGTAAGATGTAAAGGTGATGAAATTGTTTGTCTCCAAAAGTCATACATGGGTGACGAAATATATTTCGTCACAAATATATATATACGTGACGAAATTTTTAGTCACCGAACAACAAAATGAACCAAATATTTCATATATAAGCTATAATAAATTGTCACAAAAAATATTTATTAGCGACAAATAATCACTTTAAATGTACTAAGAAATCCACTAGCTATTATACACCACTCCACAAAACAATTCACTAAACAATTATATTATAAATCAAAATATATCCATCAAACAACTTTAATAATAATTCATTACGTATAAAAAAAAAATTATCAAAGCAAATCCCAAAATGAACTAATGTGGAGTCCACAAAAAAAGTCAACACTCAATCTTGATTTGCAACTACAACTAAGTATCACTTCAGTCAAAAAAAAAATTCAACACTTGATCTTGATTTGCAAGTATGCTTCCAAATGTCATCAAAAACCAATCTGCAAAAAAAAAAAATAAACAAGAAAAATATTAACATATTATCAATTACATTGTATAGACTACTAAAAAAAACACTTTTTGCGACCGCCACAAGCCGTCACAAATAATAAAAATATAGTCACAAAAGACCTTTTGCCACCGTCCATGCGACAGTAAATAGGGGTCGCAAATGTGGGGGTGACAATTACTTTTTAGGATGACAAAGCAACGGTCGCAAATTATTCGCGACCACCTAAACTATTTATGGTGACTGCTATTTTGCCGTCGCAAAAATTAAAGAAAAATGCTAACATGTTTTTTGGCGACCATTTTGTTACTGTCGCAAAAAAACAAAAAACAAAAAAGAAAAAAGAAACATAAAAGCGTAACGTTAAGCATTCTAAAAATAGCAATGACAAGAATTCAAACAGTATAACATTGTTGTTTAATCAGACATTTCATTTGAGTCAAAAAATTGGAGTCATATGTAAAAGTTATTACAACTAAAAAACTAGTAAAAGTTCTTTTATTACATTTTAGACTTTAAAACACATTTGAGACTGCACAATTTCATATTAAAACACAGGATCCATCTTCGTATTAAAAGCCCAAAACTTGAAGAATGTGAAAATAACAATTTATTGAAGAGAAATTCCCTGTCTTGATTGCCAACATGGTTCTTCGCTCTCAAATTTTGATCTGGAAGTCACTAAACTTGTCCGAGTTCATAAACATAAGGTCATTCTTCTTCGAGTCTAAACAACAGCCCAACAAAGCATATAAAATTACTGAGTCAAAAGAGCATATCAATGCTATGAAAATTGTGAGGATCTTTTGAAGTGATTTTCTTTGCATAGAAATAGATATTCCAAATCCACTTACAATTACAACTTCCCTAGTATCAAATTCAGTATGGAAAGCAGATGTGAAACAATTGAAGAAAACCAGACTAATAACAAAATATATAAATCCAAAAAATCAATCTCTGAGACACAGACAGCGAGTCCCACGTCGAAACAATATGAGAAAGAAGAGGTGTATTTATAAGATGAGAAGTACAAGGTACGACCTTACTTGAACAAAATCTATTCTATAGGATCCGTCTTCATATTAAAAGCCAGAACAAAAACTATTTATTTTTCACCATTTTAGACTTTAAAACACATTTGGGACTGCACAATTTCATATTGAGAAGATTGACTGATATTATGAGCAACTAGATAAATGGAATTAGGCTTGTATTTTATCCAAATAATACTGTATCCAAACTTGCAGTCCACACCCCATCTGTTAGTTGACCAGATTAAGTCAATGACCTATCTAAGTTATGTCATCTTTACAAGAATGCTCACCGACTCATTAGCACTTATGGCAAGAATGGCCACAGAACACTAGAAAAAGACTCACCCTATATCAATTTTTAAATAACTTTTATCTGGTGTCATTAAGTTCCAGTCCTTTAATATTTTGATTTTGGTCTTCAAATACTTATTTGTTTTTCCTTTTAATTACTACCCGTCTTCTGTTCTTTATTTGTTCCTTTTGTGAAATGTATATTTGGCGACTTAGATAATAGAAAAAACACTAGATCTGACCGCAATGTTGTCAAGGGTGCTCGGGCTGCTCGAATTCAGCAAAACAAATGGTAATTTTTATCTTAATTTTCTACCCCTCTACATAAGATGTATACCTTTTTACTCACAAGGGTCTTGTGTTTGTAGCTTTTCATCCAATAAAGGATAATATTTCTATTGCCTAAAGGCAGGATTGCATATTTTTGTCGATAAGGAAGCAGAAAAGGTGTGCTGTTTTGGAAGAAAAAAGGGCATCCAGTTGATTGACTAGTCCTCCCCGTGTCATTGTATATGATATGTTTTTAATGTTAATATTGTTTGTACCCAAAGGAATTGTTAATCCTTCATGAAAGGTTCTTTTGTATAAAACTAGACTACATTTGTTTCCTGGTAAATTGAGATCTAGATGGACTGGGCCGCTTCATAGTTAAAACTGTTTTTTCTCATGGGGCCCAGATTGAAAATCCCAAGAATGGTAATGTTTTTAAAGTGACTGGCCAACGTCTTAAACCAGTTTTGGAGAATTTCCCACATGAAGAGGAGAGGAGTCCATCGAATTAAAAGACCCTATTCATTCATTCATGTTTGAGCTGGTAAAGATGTTTGTAGTCCTTTCACAATAAGTTATTTATGGGGAAAAAAAGAAATTATGATTTCATCTAACAATTATTCTCTATTTATGATGACATATCATATGATAAATCGTATTTGAAAATCACTCTTCCAATGTTTGATTGCAGTGAACTTTTAGACCCTGTTGTTGCTGAAGCTACACTGGACTTTCGAAATCTTAACAAGAGAAAACTTTTAACTAATTTCTCAATATTTCTCCCTCAGGTATGATTTGAGATTGGCATGATTCTTTGCTTGGGATTTAGTTTCTTTATTTGACTGAATTTTCAGATTTAGAAGTAGAAAAGAAGAAATATGAAGCATGTATATCAAATATTTTGGTAACTTATCCTCCTCTAACATCAGTCTTGCATTTGTAGTTTTTCCCATTAATGCTAAGTTTCTCGTGTCATCTTTTTGGTGCTGTTCTTAAAAGATATATTTAATTTATTTGATTGGAATGATCTTAGTTATAATTCGTGCAATTGTTGTGTCCTCGAGATATTTGTATATGACAAATGCCAATAGTGCTGGATATTGGGATTGAAATAAAGGAGTGTCTTGAAAATAGGTCAAACAGTTAAAAGAAGTGCATTAATTTCCATAAAAACTGCATTGAATTTAATAAAAAGTGTCTTGTGTTTTCAAAAAAAAAAATTGGGTCTACTTTTCGTGTCCCTGGGACACTTGTTAACAAGACCCTTCATATATTGGTATTCATAATTGTAGTTTTATTTTATTTTTGTCCTGTCAATGCTACTTCAGAAATAAATTTTGTTGCTTATGTGATGCCACATCTTATTTTGTATGTTTAACGTTATTATGCACCTTCCCGACCTTGTTGGAACAAAATATGGTATAATAATTTCGTACTGAAACTAATTGAGCCTAACGGAAATTTTGACAACTAAACACATGTTTAATTTCAAAAAGGAGGATCTAAAAGAATGCTTTCGGAGATACTGTGGACTCAATCTGCAGTGAAGGGCATTACTGACTTTCTTACATATATTTTTTTTTGTTTTCTTTTTTGATGCAGATTTGAAAATCGTTTCTAAGTGTGTTTCCAGCATTGATGTCTCTTGGGTCATTCGTTCAGCTATTTCCATCTCTCGTTGACTTACCAAGTAAGTTTGTTTTTCTGGATTCCCTAGTAGTTACATTCTGCTCCTTTTTCATGTCTTTCTTTTGTGGCTTTTGTCTCTTGCCTCATTTCACCAATGAGCGAAAGCCTAAGGATACAAAAAAAATTACCAAAAAATCTACCACTCACATGGGTGTTGTGGGACCAACACCCATGTGAGTGTTTGCTAGAACATTTGGGGTCTAGCATTATTGCTCACCAATTGAAGTTCTACTTACTCTATTAACAGCTGCACCTTGTTATTTTCCTTCTATTGATTTATTGATCTAGCCAAGTAGGCCATTTCGAAATGCCTCAATTAAAAGAGTTCAGAAATTCAAAATCTATATGCTTGGTACTAGTTGGGAAATTGAATTTTTTTATTTTGAATATAGTTGATATTTGTTGGCTTTCCTTTTCTCGGCTTCTCTAGCACGTAGGCATTGTTCGCCATGGTATGCTTTTTCGGGGGTAAGTTTTTATTGCCATAAAAGGGGATTTACAATGAAGCTCAAGACATGCCAAAGGCAATACCCCCTCTAGAAGAGAGCTTATGCCTAGCCTGCAGAACAATTAAACTTCAGTAGTTGGCGTTTTAGGATAGAAATTTGTGTGCTTTGCAAATCCTTAGAGCCTGGTGTGAAGAGAAAATTGAGAAATTAATTGGTATGAGTAGTATTTTATTTTTGAGTTATTACTTATGTCTACAAATTGGGTTTCTTACTTAACCAACAACAAAAAAAAATAGAAAAAAGAAAAGAAAAAGAATAGGGTTAAGTTAGTAGTTTATTGGTAGTAGTTGCTACATAATTGATGTCTGTTGGGCTATATATAATAAATCCATGTGTTTTTTGGGAGATAAATGTAGGCCTTTTTTTATTCAATGGCAACTGAGTAGCGAGTAGTAACACAAGTGATGAAGACTAAAGAATTCGTCAACTGAGCACTGAGTCAACAACCAGGTAATCTCAGTTATCTCTCAAGAATTCCTTCACTTACATTGCTTCCATTGCTTGGAAATGGAGACTAAATTGGGCGCAAGTTTTTTTTGGTTTTTATGTTTTTCATTTATCCATTTCCATGTTGTGCTGCAAAGCGTGATTCTTTGGAAGATGACATGGGCATGGAGATAGAAGGTAATGGGCATGCCTGCATATCTTCAACCTGATCTGGAAGCAGATCTCGTCTTGCCTTCGACACCAGCTGGCAGTGTCAATTACCAGGTAATTTCTAATCTCAGTTATCACTCAAGAATAATTTCACATACATTGCTACAATATATGTGTGAGGTTTGGAAATTCCTTTCTAATAATTTGGGTTGTATTTCATGATAAGCATGCTGTGGATCTTGTATGAGAAGGAAATAAGAAATGGAAAAAAGAGTGGGAAAAGAAAACTTTGTTAATAGTTTCATGTGGAGAAACATGCAAAGAGCGAACTGCTAGTACATATATTATCTTATGCAATTTTATCTTTTCTTTTGTGGAGGTTTTGTTGGAATTTTGTATTTCATTTGCTGTGATGTGTTATAGAAACCAAAAACACCCTTTTCGTAGTTTTTAGATAATTAGAGATCAATGATTCCAACTTCTTTACTCCATTCAAAAAGTTGTTCAAGATAATTGATCAAAATCATTATGATGACCCAGTTTGTGTATGTTATTCAAAATAATGTTACTTTTAGGAGTAGTTAGTTTTTCGTTTGCATTTTTTTTTCCTTTGTGTTTTTGGCGCTGACCCCTTGCAGCCAATGGCACATATAGACGTGGTTAATCATTTAAGGTAATTTGCTTAACTTTTTGATTTTATTTTTTACATTAAGGACAATGCATCGTTAGTTTTTTTGAGACTAAAGAGTGGCAGCCAAATTTGACGAAAGTAATTTTGGTTTAGGTAAAGAAACAAGATTGATTGGGAAGGGGCCCATCCATGGAGGAGAAAGCAATAGAGGCTTTGAAGAAGTTGAATGGGAATATGGCCCTGCTATTATGTCTCTTTGTTGTTGGCCCTTTTGGTATGGCGTGAATCTTATTGTTGAATCGATGGTCTAGGCATTTGATAGGTGGACAGGGTGGTTGGTTGTGAAGAGGAGAGGACTAGAGGAGTGGTGTGGAAAGCAACATGCTAAAAGTCACCAATTTCCCAAAAGCTTAAAGCTGTTAGGAAATGAGCCTAACAATGTATATTGTGCTCTCTAGCACCCTCCTTCACATGCAACTCCATCTTGCACGTGGAGAGACAAAGAACCAAACATAAGGAGATTCAAACAACCAAACAGAGAACACGAAACCAAATGGGGTCTGAATATCAAATGCCAATAGAGAGATTTGAACCTAAGACCTCTCTCAACCTTAACTCTAATACCATGCTTTTGGGAAAATTGGTGACTTAACACAACAGACCTTTTTATGTCCTGATTATTGTGTTCATCACCAACTGGAAGATGCATACTCAATTTGCACTCACTTTACAGATTATTAATAATGTTACTTATAAAAAATATATATACTTATCACTCTTTGGCCATAAGCATGCTGAATGCGATTGTAAATGTTACTCCTTGAAAATAGAATTTTTTATTTTTTATTTTTTATTGTTGTGTGTGTTGTGAAATAATGATTGAGGTTGTTAGAATTTTTTTAAATAAAAAACTTCTATGGGTGTTTTTCAGATATATCTATGCTGTTTTGTTGGCTACTGGTGGTAAAAGGCTTGGATGTTAGAAGATAAATATAATTGACCTTTCTACTGCTACTAGGTGGTATTCTTAGGTTAGTATGAAAGAAACCTGAGGTATGGGTTCTATTGACAAAGTGGGAGGGAGGTTTCTTATACATGGAGGAGGCTTCTATGTTAAGTTGTTGACTACAGGATTTTTGTCGGTCCTCCTGGATTCCTGTATCCGTTTAGGATCTGGCTTGTATCTTTACATTGTGTGTATTTTGATTCTATCTACTCTCAATGTGTACTCATGCAATTCTTAAATCATTGATTAATAACTTATTTTACTTGTTAGAACAATAGACCAGAGATTCTAATTCATAATTTGCAACACTATCATGGACAGGATAGAACTGCATTTCTGTTTCTTTTTTTCCCATCACTGCTACTTGTGTTAAGGTCGTGGTTATGGGGTGGATGCTTATTGGCATTGTCTGTTCAGCTTTACCAGGTACTTTTGTATGGGAAAAATTTTTGTAACTCATATTGATATTTTAAGGAAATTTTAACTTTTTGATTTGTTTACTATACTTTTGTTTTTTTTTGTTTCTAAGTGTAATGAGCATATTATTTTCAGGCATGGTTGTTAATTCTCTACACAGGTTTGGCTTTGCGAGAGAACATACTT